CACTGGGAACCAAAATTTGATACTATACAAGAAGAACAAAATCTAATGGTGGGAAGCCAGCAGTTTTTAAAAATTTCCTTTTATTGGCAGATGCAGGGGGTGCTGATGGTCCAAACACTCTACCGTTCACTGTGGTGACCTTGGGCAAGGGACTTCACCACTCTGGCCTTTGCCTGCTAATGTGTAAAGTGTGAGGCCTGGAGAAAATGACTCTCAGCTCAGTGCCAGCCTCAGGGCGGGAACGCAGCTGCCCTCTACCTTGTTGGGAGCTGGACTTCCGCACTAGTATCCCTTCAGCAGTATAGCCAAATTTTAGAGCAAGAATATGTCCTCATGGCCAAGACTGGAAACAAAAGCCAAGATGGATAAAACATGAGCCTGGGACTTTCCATTTGGGGGTGTGGCAGGTGCTGGTGGCATAGAAAAATAACTCTTGGCTCACTGCGAGCAAAATAACATCACATATTCATTAGAGATGATGTTTTTCTCTCTCCCTTCCTCTCCCTCTTCTTCCCTCTCTAAAAAGCAATGAAAAAAGTGTCCTTGGTTGAGGATTAAACAAAACAAAACAAAACAAAAAACTACCGCCTCCCTCCAAAATCCGAAGTTGGAGAGTATGTGATGAAATGGACACTGCTGATGGGTGTCTCAACTGGTCCAATAATATGGTTACAATTTTGCAACAGAAAAGGTTTTTAAAGCTCAGTCCCTCTGACCTAGTAATTCCTTTTACTTAGAATTTGGTCCTGAGGAAATAATGAGAGGTGCAACATTATGTACAATGCAGTTCACTATAAGATTACTTGCATAACATAGAGGCCTAACAATTAGGGACTGTATCACTGTATGATGGATGACTAAGTTGCCATGAACAAAATCCTACTTTACTATTTACCGACAATGGGAAATGTTAACAATATGTACACTGTTGACATTAGTTATATTTCGGTGTGCCATTATTTTTCTGTCAACAACTTTCTGATCCCATGAACAGACATTCTACTTAGGTTGTAGGATATAAACACAACAGTGATTTCCTCCCTCCCTCCCTCGCTCCCTCTCTCCCTCCCTTTCTCCCTCCCTCCCTTCTTTTTAATTTATTGATATTAGAGAGAGAAAGGAAGGGGGGGCGAGAGAGAGAAACATCAGTTTGTTGTTCCACTCACTGATGCATTCATTGGTTGATTCTTGTATGTGCCCTGATCAGAGATCAAACCCACAACCTTGTTGTATTGTGAGCACAATCTAACCAACTGAGCTACCCAGACAGGGCTTGTGATTCTATTTCTGAAGGAATGATATGGTCATTAAGGAGCCATTGAAATGCCCAAGGAACACTTGTAGTGCCACCTTTGAAAAATGACATGGGCTTTATAATAAAGCACTGAGTTTTCCCAAATTAAATGTTTTGTTTGACTCTGGAAAACTTGTCCAGTAGGATAGTCTCAAAGCAATACTGCATTGCTCCAGTACCCTTCCCTTTACACCCAACCAGTAGTATGCTCACGTCTCACTTTATGGCAATGTGATTTATACATCTTCATATTTTAAGTGTAGATAATCTAGTCATAAAAGTGAAAGGGAAACTAGAGATAAATTAGTTTCACTTTTCTCATTTAATTGATAAGAACTCAAGATCTAGACAGATTAGGTAACTTGCTTAGTTACATGAGAAATATTTAACCTCAAGATTAATGGGAAATGTTAAGTTAAAAAAAACCTGTGTAATCCTTCATGTTACTTAGAAAACACCCCACCCCAAACAAGCAAACATGCAAGCAAATGCTCTGAAGATGACAATGAATATACTTGGGCAACAACAGAGACTCTCCTGCCATATCCTTGCAAACATCCCTCCCCTGCTATGTGGGATGCATTCAACAGTAATGCCTTGAGAGAAAAAAAAGCAGAAGACAACTTCACAACAGGACTAACTTTATATCATAAAATAACTTCATGGAAACAGATTCAGTGCCAGTATACTAAATCCTTCTGTTTGGCCTTCCAGGCACATTTAGAGGAGTCTGAGTTCTTGTTTCCTTTTCAACCAAGGCCAAAAAAGGCCTCTATTTTTTCTATTTAACATTTCAGGTATTCATAGCTTAGGACAAATTCCTTTATGCTGTGAATCATGGTTTTATGCAGAGTAGAGCTCATTTTAATGCCATAAATGTTAGTAGAATTCCCCTCAGATTATCTAGGAAACAGCACTTAATTCCAGACAAATAAAATATATTAAGGCACTTTCTTACTTTCTTCTTTATAAATCAGTATTTTTCAGTGAGTTATTTCATATAGCCCTAATTTCAAATTAGGTGAAATAAATCAATGAGAAAATTTTGGCACCATCCAACTCCATTGTAGCTGAAATTAAATAACCCCAGAAAATAAACAATTTTCCACTTGAGTTAATACAAAATATATAACTTTAATACGTATTGTGTTTGAGGCAGCACTTTATTTGAAAATGCTGGTTTGCTTGGCGTTAGGAAAATAGATCGTGTTCTTTTTCCTGTTCATTTAAACTATGGTTTTCTTTTCATAAAGGTTAATTGATTTTCTATATTGCATAACAATATTACCTATTATGTTTTTCAAAGGAGAAACTATTCATATTTGCCCTTTAAATTATGCTCCTAAAGCAAGTGCTTAGTTCCGATGTCTTAAAACTTTATTTTGGTCTCATTTTAGGTTTCGTAAAATAAACATGTAGTTCGAGTCCACAGCAAAAGAGAGAGGGAAAAGGGTACTTCTACTTTATCCACAAGAAGTATAAAGTGATGATTTTCTCAGCCGAGTCCGTTAACATATACTGAGTATATATGTGTATGTATGGGGTAGACTCCTTTTGAAAATAGAACTACTGTTAGTTTCTACTCTGTGAAGTGAATGCTGGGAACAAAAGCTCCCTTCTCCACTGGGAGGCAGCTGGAGTTCCAGCCCAGCCTGCAAGGAAAGCATCCAGCTTTCACGTGATTGGCTGAAAGCTGGCTTGGTCTTGAGGGTTCTGCTCAATAGCAAGATCGTCTGGACTATCTTGGACTCTAGAATAGGGGTCTGCAAACAATAGTTCTTGGACCAAAACTGGCTTGCTACCTGTATTGTAAATAAAGTTTTATTGAAACACAGCCAGGTCCATTTGTTTATTTATACATAGTCCATGGCTTTTCATGCTACAACAACAGAACTGAGTAGCATGTAAAGCCAGAGATATTTACTATCTAGCCCCTGCTCTATAAGAATGTTGGATGGAAGTTCAGTACTACATTCTATCTAGAACCAACCTCAAAGCAAGAAGAATCCATTGGATCACCCACTTCATATCAAGTATTACCATGTTCATATGTCTCAGGAGGGTACGTTCTTTGAGACTAACTTTGGAGGCTTAATCAGGGAGGCAAATTATCATGGAGTAGAGAGATACTGTTGTGTAGCACTTGATCCCACACTGTCCTTTGTCACACAGGCCACTTCCCTTGGTTTTCGGGACTGCTGTCTGACATCCATGTGCTTACACAAACCTGGGGCTGCAAAGACTTTGCCATCACGCCTTGTTGAGATGCCCACTCAGAGCAGCATATACATGGAGGCTTAGCCAGCTTGATCTACAGAAATTTTCCACGGAATAGTAACAGGGGTATGACATAGAAAAGTGTGAGATTTAAGTGGGGGAAAATATTGGTCAGGCTGGCAGTGGAATAGAAATGGGAGTGGGTATATTGTGGTGGCTGTTAGTGAGAATTAAGATCAGAAGGTGATTCTGGGACCCTCACTTCTTAAGGGTGTGAATCATAGTCTGGCTTGCCCAGGCGCTTGATCTTGTTGTTGCGCCAGGAACTCAAGTGTAGACAGGTAGAGAGGTGGGGCAGTGATGTTGGGAGATGTAAGATTATGGCCATTATATAAGGCTTGTAAACTTCTAGAAGGCAGAGTGACAACTTGCAGTGGCTCCAATGTTTCAGTTCTACAGGGGAATGAATTCTGGGAGGAATTGTCCTGTATATTTAGTTTGTCACTGGGTGGGGAGGTGACATAAATACATTATCAAAAGTGAGTGTGCACCCATGACATGCCAAGTCTGTGGGTACCTGCCCTCCTGCCATAGTAACCAAAAGGACAGTCATGGGCTTGGTGCTAGGCTAGAGGGCAAATAGCAGAGGCTGTCAACTGACAGTCTGTGGGCTGATTCTGGTCAGCAGACATTTGACTGGCCCATGAGTTTTTGATATGTTTATATGTTTATTGCTTCCATTTATAATTGGGAGTGTTTTATTTAAGACCTGGCTTTCTAACTTTTGAAAATTCAAAATCTCCGGACACACTTGGCTTCAACTCTGCCTGTCGGTGATGGCCTAGCGTGGAGGAATGGCTTCTTTTCAGAGAACAGAGTTCTGTTTGTCTGCCCAGTCTGCTTCAGGCACAGGTGTGCTGGCCTGGCTCCTGGGGCCTTTCGGTTTGCAACCTCTGTTCCATGTCATTGCACCAAGAATTCATGCCACAGCAATGTCATGATCCTCAGCGGCCACTTGGTTGCTTCTCTGCCCTTTGCTAAGAGTTTCTATCTCACTTTACCTTATGCGACCCAATCCTATCCCATTCTCACTCTACTGCTGAATGGACTGAGGAGCCCACTTTGGGAAAGATGCCTGGACTCTGGTTTGTGAGGGTATAGAGCCATTTATTATATTGATCTGAACGAATGCAAAGAGAGAATGTATTTAGTGCGCAAGGGCGATCCTATAATGGCTAAAACTAGCCTTTGATAGTGAATTATCATTTCCTCCCCCTCATGTCAGCGGCGATGACACATCTCACAGTTTCTGAATACGAAAGCCCATTTAGAGGGATGTGTTCCCAGGACGCATTTGCATTTAATAACACTTGTTGGTTTGAAAATTATTGCAGCTAAGACTCTCAGGTAGCCTTCTAGGCACCTTAAATTTCTCTTTTAGTGGAACAAAAATGGAGACACACAAAGAAAATTTAAAAAATATAGATACCTGTCATACTGTTGGGAGTCATAGGTTAGTAATCATTCTGGACCTTTTTTTTCACTCACATCTCCTACAAAGAAAAAGACAAGAAAAAACACCACAGGTTATAACCTGCATTTTCCACAATGGTTTTGTTCCACAAATACACATGCATTAATCAGCAACCTGAGACTCTGGAGTCAGGCCTGGGGGAGGCGAAGCATAAGGGCTATGTGATGGGTGTACGTCTGTAAGGTCTCAGGGTTCCTTCTCGAAACATGTTTTTTAAAATAATTTTATTCAAGAGCACATGTCTATTTTTAAGTTTTAAAGAAAACCACCAGCACACTGACTTGCTGTTTTTCCCAAGCATCACTGTGATGTGCGTATTAGCATCTTCAATCGGGATCCTTGCCTTGCCTGGGAGCTTGTTAGAAAACTCGGGTCCCATCTCGAAACTACTCCATTAGACCTGTATTTGGATAAGACACACAGGCGACTGATGTGCACTTTTAAAGTATGAGGCACACTGCTCTAGAGAATGAAAATCTGTATTCACAGTGTCCCATTTGTGACTTTCTCTGTTAGAGCCCAACTCCTTCCGCTCCCTACTACATGACTGAGATCTGAGAGCAACTGGCAGATTTGGCCTCCGATCGGGGGTGGAGGCACAGCGGGCATCGGTGACCAGAGGTGTCCCACCCGACAGAGGGAAACATGCTGAAGAACATGCACAGGTGGATGAACCAGATGGCTGATGAATGCGGGTCACAGTCCTCCTGAATATAGCTGGGGAGAGATCAGAATTAGTTTTCTTTTTCTAGAAGGGCTTCTGCGTTTAGTGATAGTTCTAGATATCACTGTGCACTGAGTTCTAGATATCACTGCGTTCAGGGATAGTTCTAGATAGCGGTGGCATGGTTGCTCAGGAATAGTACTGAAGCCCCGAGGCACGGGTCAGAGGTTCGATGCTGTCACATACTAGCTGTGGGATCATGACAAGTCATTGCAAAGCACTGGAATCTCTGATTCTTCATGTGCAAAAGGAGGAAAATAATACTTGCTCTACTTACAAGGCTGATGTCTGAGAGGTTTAAAGGCAATATGAGTGGAAGTGCTGGGTAAACCACAATGCACTCTGCACATGGAACATTGGCTGAGGAGGGAATAGCTAAGTAACTGGTTGGAGAAGAGGAAGTGTGTGGAAGAGGAAGCATATACATTATGTTTACAATTTGCATTTATATATGGCCATTCATTCTAGCTCCACATTTAATACCACAACATTGAGTTCATACCTTGGTCACAATTCTTGTCACATGTGCGGTCATTACATTTTTATATGCCTACCTTTCACTAGACTGTAGTCTTTTTGTGGCAGGGACTGTCTTTGTTATTTTTCTATCTTCCACATTGAGTAGAATGTCTGATACAAAATAGGCACTCAACAAATATATATTGAATAATTGAATAAAATAAAACAAATGAAAGTTGACATGGGATGGTATAAGCAACCTGAATTGGCACCTGGGAGGAGAGATGAATATTAACTACTAGGAAAATGCATTCTTGCTACTGATTCACATTTCAGGGGCTACCAGACACAAGCTCCCTGCTCCATCCTCACCCACCTGTTCTGGTTTTGACTGAGAGGAACCAGGGTCTGAGACACGCTGAGGTGAGATCTCAGATCATACTTATATTATTGAATGTCTAGACTCTTGCTCTTCTTAGAAACCAAGCTACCATTAACCCCCCCCCCCCCCCACCCCATGGGAGTGGCCATGTTTTCTCAGGACGTTGCTCCCGTCTGTTCTGGAGAGGAAGGACTTGGCTCCGGCTGGGCCTGCCCCAGCGCTCACAGCGCTCCACCTGTGGCCAAACCGGATGTTTGGAGAAAGGAAAAAAGAGAGAAGGGAGGGAGGGAGAAGGAGTGAGGGAGAGGAGAAATTAATTTAGTCCCATGTCTCTCTGCACCACATGGAAAAAGGCTGACTGATGGTGGGAAAGCGGGTGGACCGACATTCACCGAGAGCCCCAGCTCTCAGGCTGCCTTGGGGCTGGGCTGCGGCCCTCCGGCCCCTCCGAGGGTTGGGCCCCCCAACCCTTCCTGAGTGAAACAACCCCCATTTTCCCCTCCACTGGCTCCATGCAGGTTTCTGCCACTTGCTACCAAACAAATCCTGACTGATACACCAACATTAAGATACAACACAAATACAAATGGGTCAGAACAGTTTTGTGTCCTTTTTAATCACTGTGAGGGTAAAGTGACAGAATTCCAGTTATGGTCTTGCTATACCATCAATTGAAAGTGTCTTTGTTTACAGAATCTCAAAGAAATAGGCATATGAGCTATAGAAAGGAATTACACGTGAAGCAGAAAGAATCTGGGGACAGGGAAAAAAGTCTTATTGAGGCTCCAAAAACAATGTTAACACCACACAATTTAGTTTCGATTTGCTTATCTACTACTGTTTTCCTTCCATTGTACTGTATAATACTATTTAGTACTTTAGTACTTCAGCATTACTGTATTCTTACCATCACTATACCATTAATCATCTATTAGTATTACTTTTCCTCTACTATTACCTTTAGTATAAAGTTAATTGTATATTAGTATTACTACTGCTATTGTACTTTAGTATTTGGTAGTATTTAGTGCTATTTTCCTCCAATGAGCTCTAGAGTTTTAAAATGTAATTGCAGGAAAGTCTCTGACAATCCCCCAGAGGAGGCAGGTGTCCAGGGCCACACGTTCTGCTGGTCCTATGATACGGGGCACGGCGTCAGCAGAGTGCTCTGTGCTGAGGAGCGGAAGCAGAGAAGGTCCTTTCCAGAGCCATGGCTGGAGTCTGGGGTTCACCAGCTGCTCATGGGGCCAGAGGAAAAAACAAAATGCAAAGAGCTTAGTCCTAAAGAAGGCAGAGCTCTTGTGTTTGCCCGGAAGGGCAACAAACACAGCAAAGAGGCTCACCAAGTAGGGCAGTGAGGAGGAAGCGTTGGTGGGGATGTGTTCGAAGGGGGAGGGAGGACTACGCTAACGAGAGATTGGCAACGAGCTCTCTCTCCAGGAAGGGCGAGCCACAGGATTGCAGATCATTCGTTAGAACAGGCCAGGAAGTCTTCAGCTAGGTCCTGCGAGGGTCTGTGCACCAGTCCCTTCAACGTTGATGGCCCTTTAACAGCTTCGGCACTTTAGCACCCACGACATTGAGGAGGGGAATGACATCCGATTTCCTCTCCTAGGCAAGTGCTCTTGAAATGGAGAATATCCCTTTTACATGAGTCATTAACTGGGTTGGTCTGCCGAGAGGCTTTGATTGAGGGCCTATCTGCTCTGCCATTCCCCTAGCTTTGTCCAAAGATAGCTCTCCAGCCTGTCCATCAGGGGCTTTCCATCTAACAGGGAGAGAATCACAATAAAAAAATGCCAGAAGGTATATAGGTTCCCCCTTAAGTGTCTCATCAGAGCAGACTGGGGCACAGAAGAAAGAGAGGTCATTTCTTCCTGGGGTTATCTGGAAAGGCTTCTCAGCGGAGGCGACCCTGGACCTGAAGGCTTTTCTTTTCAACAGGCCCTTCCCTGTCCCATGATTTAATGCTTTATTCTCACCCCTGCACTCCTGAGGCACATGGGATACTCTGCCAGAATGAGCCTTGTATAGAAAAACTGGGAAACTCCTTTAAATCATGCAGCTTTTAAGCAAGGGAGCAATATGATCCGGTTCCAGCTTTTAAAGCTTCACCGTGGCTGCTGAGTGAAAGCAGACCGGTCTGGGGGCTACAGCAGGTCTGGGGCAGAGGGGAAGGTGGCTAGAACTCCCCTGGTGGCAGTGGCGGTGGTGCGATTCAAGTGACATTTAGGAGGGAGAAATACTGAGACAGTGATGAATGTGAGAGGAGCATTTAATACTGGAATAAACACCAGGGAGGCAAATAGGTTAAGACCACAGGCTCTCAGGCCTCACGGGATTTACAACCCCTTTTACAAGCTGCCTGAAAAGGCAGAACCTACTGGCAAGGAGCAGTTAAAAATACAAGGCGCAGATGCCACGGGCCAAGGGGGCGGTGCTGAGAAACACTCAGGGCTGAGTCAGTCCTCTGGGATGAAAGGTGTGGCTCACGCGCCACAGAAGAGCAAAAGGGACAGCAGCTTGGCACAGGAGGTATCACTTGGGGTGTGGAGGCGGCAGGAAGTGGCCAAGAATGAAGCTGCAAATGTTCGGGGCCAGGTGGTGAAGGGTTTTGAAAGGTTTGCTATAAGGTTGGACTTTGTCCTTTGGGAAATGGGGAGCCCTGGAAGGTCCTTAAGGGAAAGCCCTTGTCTGAGACAGATCGCTCTGCCACAGTGCGGGGGAGGACTCCTCAGGAGGCTAACGCTCTGGTGGCACCTCTGCGTGGGAGCACTGCTGTTTTCCTGCCTGCGTGTTCAAGTTTGCAGAGCTAGAGAGACTAGGGCCAGAGAGGACACCCCTAACTCCACCTTGTAAAGCTCCAGTGCCCTGTGGACCGCGTGCCCCATCCCCAACTGCATGCCCATTGTCCCCTTGTGTTTCCCTTTCCCCAATAGAAACTGTGACATTGGAAGGGCAACCGCAAAAATTACCCCCTAAAAAATCTTTCCGTATGGACCTAGTGAGTCATTGTTTATACAATCTGTACATACTAATTAAAATGAAACACTGCACTCCCCGCCCCACCCCGCATCTCTACGTGCACTTTTCTCAAGAAGGCATTTGTGGTCTTCTTAAGGTCACCTTCCTTAGTTTGCCTTTCCTTGGCTCTCTCAGGAGAAAGGGTACAAGAGCACCACGCAGCCCGAGGGGTCCGTATGGTGACGCAGGCAGGGTCCATCTGTTAACGCTTCAGCGGCTGCTTCACGGCAGCCAGAGGAAGCCATGCGTGGGCTGGAGGTGGTGGTGGGGAAACTTCCATAGGCAAATCTCTTGGTTCAGTGTACAGGGTCACATGCTCACATGTTCGGCTATTGCAGACTCTCAGTTGAGATAATGAACGCCAGGAAGTCTCTCAGAGGAGGACAGACCCACCCTCTCACTTGGCACTAAGCAAACGTGCACACCCTAT